AGCCCCGCCCCGTGTCATAAGCCCCGCCCCACCGCCATTGCAACAGGAAGCCCCGCCAATCACTAGGCAACAGCGAGCCAGAACGCCCGCCCCATTCGGGCCACGCCCCCCTCTCTATGGTCGCCCTCCTCTCTATGGTCGCCCTCCCAGAGCGCCGCTCCCGCAGGCGGCACGCGGCCGCCGATGGGATCATAGAGAGCGCCCCGCCCCTCTCGCTCTCGTCTCTATGGTCCCGGGAGTCCAACGCACCCCCGGCGGGGGGGTAGGGGGGGGGCCGCGCTGCTCTCTATGGTGTCGGCGCCCGCCACGGGCCCTCCCGGGCGCGCTCCACCGCCCACGGCCCGCCCTGGAGGTCCCAGCTCCTCTTTATGGTCCCGCACGCGGTACCGAGCGCCCCCCCCAACATGGCTGCTCCGCCCGCCTCTACGGACCGCCGGTACCGGGCACTTGTAGACCCCCCCCCCACACCCGTCTCTATGACCCCCCGGCGCCATGACCGCCCCCCGCCCGTCTCTATGACCCCCCTCCCCGGTACCGGTCCCCTCTAGACCCCCCCCGCTCTAGGACCCGCTCCCCCCCTCCTCACCCCGATCCTTCCGCGTCTCCCGGTTTCTCCCGCGCACTTCCGCAAACTCCGTGACGTCACAGAGCGCGTTTCGATCACGTGGCGGGGAAGGCATTTCCACCGCCCCGCCTTCCCGGAGGACCGACCATAGAGACGGGGCGGCCACAGCGAGCGCCCCGCCCATTGGTGCGGCTAGCGAGAGGAGAGCCGGCGGGAGACGTCACTTCCTGCGCGGGGGATCATAGAGATGTTGGCACCAGCGAGTCGCTTTGGGAGGCGACAGCGCCTCCCAGCGGCGGGAGGCCGGGACATAATGGGATATATTGGGACATACTGGGACATAATGGGACATACTGGGACATGATGGGACACAGCGGGAATGAGGGAGTTCCCGGGACACGCCGGGACCTGCCAGGGCAACAGCGCCATTCTGGGAAGCACTGGGACTGACTGGGACTTACTGGGACACASTGGGACATACTGGGACTCACCGGGGACTGGGACACGGTGGGRGKGGGGGTAGAAACTGGGATATCCCAGGATTCCTGACATTCTGGGAAGCACTGGGACTTCCTGGGACACACTGGGATATACTGGGACACACTGGGACTCACCAGGGACTGGGA